CGCATACATACATGTATCATAATGAAGCAAGACAAACATACATCACACAATCATAGAATCACAACCATCACCTACCTCGAAACAAGCTTGAAACCCTAAGAAACTTGATCCTTCCCTTTCTGGATTAGTTCCACTTGTTCGTGGTCTACAAACAATCATAATAACACGGGAATCAATAAACAATCACTAATTACCCGGATTACTAACAATTCTATGAACCCTAGATGAAATCCATGATCCCAATTATCCAAATTAAGGTTGTTTCCACCATAGATTCTAGATCAAAACCCTCCCCCATCGATATTTACCCATTAGATTACGTTATATGGATTGAAAAATGGATTCGGGGAGTTAAAATCTTACCTTTAGCCTCAAGAATGATGAAAAAACGGTCAAGAAGTCGTATGGGGTCGCTCCTTAGCTCTCAAAGTCGAAAAATGCGGAATAAAGTCATTTTGGGGTTTATTTACGACTTTAAGTCGCGTTGGGCCCGCCACAACGTCCCTCACCCCGCTACATCGTCCCCGTTAGAGCGACCAAAATCACTGCCAAAGCGGGTTGCACGAAACAGTGAGCTATTTAATAATTCTCAAAACCCCCATTTCACAACACATCTTCAACCAACGACACTAAAAAAATACCGTTCACACCAAAGTCATTTTCGGGAGTTCTACTCACCCGAATTTAATTCCATAAAATCGTATGGATTCCTTAACGCGTTGGCTATCTACTCATGTAATCAAAATCATATTTAAATCACCCGATTGTTACTAGATTTCCCTACACCTTAATGACTCCAATTTCGTCCAAATCTGGACTAGGTTGGAAATTTTCAAGTTACTACGAAAAAGTTTTCCGATCCAAAAAATTTCCCCATTGTATTTTCTATACCGATGGAACCTGGTTGTAACAATAAATACCAATTTACCCTATCAATCGTCCCCGAGTGACAAACTTAGGAAAAAAATAGGCTAAGGAAAGAACGAAGTAGTACCTGAATCGACGAACAATTGGGGATACTTGTCTCGCATGTCCCTCTCGGTTTTCCAAGTAGCTTCCTCAACTGGATGATGCTTACATTGAACTTTCACGGACTTAATCTCCTTGGTCCTCAACTTACGCACATCACGATCAAGAATTCATATTGGAGGTCTTTGTCTAGCACAATTGAGTCACATTTAATGATGTAATCACCGTCACCATGATATCTCTTCAATATGGACACATGAAATACCGGATGAACACCAGATAAATTATGAGGTAAAGCCAATCTATACACCACCAGCCCTACACATTCAAGAACCTCAAAGGGACTAATGTACGGACTTAACTTGCCCTTCTTACCAAATCTCATCACCCCTTTCATGGGTGATACCTTAAGAAGAACATTTTCACCAGTTTGAAACGGCATATCTTACCTTATGGACTGCATACTTCTTCTGTCTACTCTGGGCTGCTAGAAGCTTAGCTTGGATACTCCGCACCGTATCTTGAACATCATTCACTAAATCAACCCCACTCTCCAAAGGTTTCACATCTCCAGCCTCGAACCATCCTATAGGTGATCTACATCCCCTCCCATAAAGTGCCTCAACTGGTGCCATATCAATGCTGGAATGATAACTATTATTATAGGAGAACTCACACAACGATATGCATTTATCCCAATACCCTCCAAAATCAATCACACATGCCCTCAACATGTCTTCTAACACTTGAATAGTCCTCTCTGACTGTCCGTCTGTCTGTGGATGGAAGGCTGTACTAAAAGTGAGTTGTGTGCCCAATTCATCATGCAATTTCCTCCAAAACTTGGATGTGAATTGGGTACCCCGGTCTGAGATGATAGAAAGGGGCACTCCATGCAACCTCACTATCTCTTTCACATAAACTTTAGCCAATTGTTCAACATTATAATCTATTCTTACCGAAATAAAATGGGCTGACTTAGTCAATCTATCAACCACTACCCAAATAGAATCAAACTTCCCCAAAGTCTTGGAAAGACCAATCACAAAATCCATGGCTATTCTTTCCCACTTCCATTCCGAAATCGACATTCTTTGAAGCAAACTCGCCGGCCTTTGATGTTCATACTTTACTTGTTGGCAATTTTGACATTTAGCCACAAACTCCGCTATGTCTTTCTTCATACCCGACCACCAATAAATTCGCTTCAAATCTCGATACATCTTGGTCACACCCGGATGAATGGAATATTGCGAACCATGGAATTCTGTCAACAATTTCTGAATCAAGTCATCAACTCGAGGAACACAAATCCTCCCCTTAAAACTGAGCACACCTTCCACATCAAGAGTTGTCTCTTGTGACTTACCAATCACAATCTTCTTATTGAGTTCATTCAAATTTTCATCCTCAATTTGTTTGGCCTTGATCTCCTCAATGAACGTGGCCCTTACCTCAATGCTAGTTAACACCCCACCTCTTTCTGAGATGCCCAACTACATGAACTTAGACTCTAAGGTCTGAATTTCCTTAGCCAAAGGTCGCTTGGTTACACTTAAGCAAGCTAAACTACCCATAATCACCGCTTTTCGACTCAAAGCGTCTGCCACAACATTAGCCTTACCCGGATGGTATTGAATGGTACACATCATAATCCTTGAGTAACTCTATCCATCTTCGTTGTCTCAAATTCAGATCCT